TTACCAACGAATAGTGGGATTGACCGTAACATTATAACGCCCCCACGGCTGAAAGGACGAGCGTATTTGGTGGGACGGGGATTCGAACCCACGACCCGCAAATTGCAAGTCGAGCTCCTTAACCACCTGGCCAAGTAGGCGGACAGACCTGCACTAATCCTAACCAGGATGTCATTCACAGCAGGATGTATTTTTTCTTTTTTTCACGTAGAACATCTAAGCATGTATAGAAAGCCTATACTGAAATTTTGAATAACTTATTGGAATTTATCCGTGTTCTATGTTCTGATACGTTGCAGCTTTAATATTTGCGTACATCAAAGTCAAATAAGTTAGGAAAATGTCTGAGTATGGGATTTATAAGTCCATTATAATATAAAACAGGCGCAGTTCATTGTTGTAAAGTGTAGGTAATAATTTTAAAAATTCAGTAAGGTGTTTTCCCATATAAGAGCTTTTATGAGGTATTTTATTTAATTACATTAAATCTTAGATTACCAGGCATATTGTCTGTTGTCATATATTGATGTGTAACGAGACAGTGTAGCTACTAGTCTAAATGCTTAAATTACACTGTGGCAAGATGAATGGCTAAACTGACAAGGTTGGTTGGTTGATTGGAGTTTATTGACTTAAAGCAACAGGGTTCACTGCGCCAACTGACAAAGCAAGAAGGTTCTTTACGCTTAACAAAAGGTGAATAAAAGTTGCAATTGATATTTCTTTTACCTTTTACATTCATATACCTGTTAATTAACATATGATGCATTTGGAATCAGACTTTTATAAATACAATTTTAATTCTCTTTGTTACATGTTTTATCACGTGAAACTTGTACATAGGATCGTTTAGAACGGATGCCCGGTCAGACTTGACTTCTTTTCAACCTTAATATTACTTTAGTTCTGATGTATTCAGTTTGAGTTTTTAGTTTCTAAAGTTTGTTTCTGGATCCGAAAAGCTTTCACTTTAAAGTCTATAAATCAAATTCTGATACCTGTAGTACTTTATTCGTAACTACTAATCAAAGCAAGCTACCTATATAGATCAGGGCTAAAAATTAACTCAGTAATAAATATAGCTAATATATTATACTGTTCACACTTATGATTATAATGCATCAGTTGAGCACCCTCACTGTTAGTGTCAAGATTTAGTAAAATAACAATGCGGAAGCATCCTTATAATAAAAGTATTATTTATTTATATACATATTAAATATTTTAACCAATATTCTTAAGAAAAGAAACATTAAATAAAAAACATAACTGAAAAAACATAAAAACAAGTGGTGTTAAACACTAGCCGCAACCCGCAAAACAGTTGAGATAGTTTCGCTTGAATTTTCTTTATTCTAGCATTTTAACACACTACATTTAAGCTACGTTTTCTTGCTGGTATTATGTATTAGATCGCTAAATACTGGTCTACTTGAAAACATGTTACGCGGTCAGACAAACAAACTCTCGTAAACGTAACTTTATTTAATAAAACTACACATAAATTAAACAATAAAGTATAGTAATGGTATTTATAATAGTGTATAAAACAGTTATGAGAATTCAGTGTATGCCACAGTTTTACGAGTTGAAACAAAGAAACCCACAAAAACGATGCATAAAACCCGTAGTAAAGAAAAAGTAACTAAAAGGTGTTTATGAAACGAACCGTAGCTAAGATTTTACAAAGTAAAGTAAATGTAAAGTTGTAAAGAAGGCAAACTTAGTTAAATATCCAGAAATGTCTGAATGCGTGTTCAAAAATTGATAAGCGTGAGTTTTTTTTTTAACGAATTACGCATTCGTATTTTAGACCTAAATAAATCGAGAAAGCCCATATAAATTGTATTTAGTGAAATCCTCATTTTTAAAGGAAATTACACGCGGTTTAACTGTTGTTTGTGTGAAATACTTTGCAAATAAAAAAAAACTAAAGTCCAAATTGAAGCCAGTCGTCACGTGATAAGAACGACATTGTGCCATCGTGTAGCATACTCGTTGGATTATAAAGTTTGACTAAGCAAAAAACAGATAAGGTAATTCTGAATGGAAAAGCCAATATGCAATCCAGACTCCTCGGACAAAGGTCTTTCTTCCGATATGAGGTTTGATCGAGAAATTTGCGAGAAAAGTTCCAGACAGACAAACACAAGCCTATTATTTATATATATTATTTAATTTTTAATGGTTTGTTTTAAACACAAGTATTTGCATTCAATTACAGGAAGCTCCCGTGACTGGAAGAGAGAGAAAAGCCATGGGTGCAACTGATATACAAGAGGGAAGCACCGCAAAGTTTTATAATCATCATTCTGTTTACTAATGAAATCATATACGGTGCCTTATAAGTGTTTCAACGCCTTTTAACACACTTTATATATTCTTGTTATCTTTGTTTTGTATTGTTTTATTATTGTGCTGTGAAATTGTAAGAAATGAAAATACTAATTTATTTAATTTAAAATTTGGATGTTTGGAATTCACGCCTGAGATTGACAATATATGGATAATGTTTATCAGCCCCTTTTCAGGAAGCTAATCTTTTAATTTTGTGTGATTTGGGTATTGTGTTACAGTTGAAGCATCTAATATCACATTGTTAATTATGGAGATGCGTAAAACTATGTTGCAGTTATTAATTAAGCTAGTATGTGCTTCAAAGCAATATTTCGATTCACGATAAGCAAGTGTAAAGTTGGAGTTTGATGAATGGCTCTTGTCCCTAGGTGGGTCAGCGGTAAGTTTACAAATTTAAAACGCTAAAATCCGGTGTTGACTCCTCACCGTGGACAGAGGGTATATAGCTTATTGTGTGACTTCGCACAAAAAAACACAAAACAATAACAGTTACAAGATGAAATTTTTTACAATCCTTCAAATTTATTGCATTTTATTTTTGCATGCATTTGAAATATTAATGGCGTGGAAAATGTTGTCCAAGGCACCTTTATTCATGTCGACAAAATAAAGAAATTTACTGCAAACTAATTTAAGGCAATAAGCCTTTTGTATGCAGGAAAAGTCTCTTCGTTTAGTCCAAGAAAAGTCTTTAAAATCAAACGCATGAAAATTTTAGTGACTATGTCAGAATATACATGTTTTGCCGGGCTGAGCACGGCCCAATGGTCAACATGCATCAGCGTGGAGATGGTAAAGTTCCGTGTTTCGCGTCTTTATACCGGCCAAAATTATTCGCGCTTCGCACCTCTGAGCCGTGGGTGCGTTATAAGAATGAAGGCCTGACAAAAGTTGACGCTGGTTGTTGTTATCTAGCTGCTTTCTTCTAGTGACGAATCTAGTCAATCATTTCAGCACAGATAGCCCTGGTGTAACTAAGCGCAAAATCCAACAAACAAAACAAAAATATCCAAATTCGATGACGAGGAACCCCATTATTAAAACAAAAATATGTCTCGCCCTTTCAAAGTGACGGCAAATTACTTGTATAACTTTCTCATATATAAAGAAGTGCATGTACAAATGTTAGGCTAAATATACCACACATATTGTTTACTTATAGAACTTGTTCACGTTATTTTTAAACTTCAAAAACTTATGAATTTGAAAACAGGTCAGAACGAGTTTAAAAAATTGGTAAAAAGCATCTAAAAGTTTGTTTTGTTCTAGCACAAAACAACCTAATGGGCTGTATGCGCTCTGTCCACTGTCAAACCTCGGATTTAATGTTGTAAATACATAGGCCTGCCATTAATCCATCAGGAAACTCTTAATTTTGTTATACGTTGTCTACAAACCGATCTTATCTAATGCACATGTTTTAAAACTTCTGATAAGACTATATTACTAGAGGGTTTTTGTCCTTTGCAAAATAATTTACAACAGTTTATTATCTGAAGAGTTTTGAAGACTATTATTTGTGTGGGTTAAGCAAGCGGTCTTTACTTTGCTAATAATAAAATTTCTGGTGTTTGTGTGGTTTGTTTGATTGGAAATAAACTATTTAGAATACCGGTTTCTATTATTTTCTGTAACAGGTGTGAAAATAAAACAAATGGGAGAAAACAAGTACTATTATAAACTTTTTCCAACATGTAAAATACAATAAATCGAAAAAAAAATACAAACATTAATCCCACTAAAACAGATGACTTTTAGTTTTCTTTACTAAGTATTTTCAGTTACAGTTTACAGAGAGAAAAAAAATATCTTTTAGAGTCTGAAAATCTGCATAAATCATTAACTGCGGAAGTTCCTATATTCCAAAGACAATTTCTACGAAGAAAAGACATGATCAGTTTAACGTCACTTTTTATGGATGTATATCAATTCAAATGTTTAGTAAATGCATTATTCTATAAGGAGTTTACTAAACTGTCTTGTTGGTTAATTAGTAACGTAAAACTGTCTCAGAAAACATCCCCTTTGTAGATGCATTTGTGTTATTCTCAGGTGTACAGATATCCGACAGGTTAAAATAGTACCTATTGTAAGTAGAGGGTCGGTAAAATAGGTATTACAAGAGTTTTCGACCTGACTAACTTGAATCGAGGTAAGAGACTGGACACGAGTTGATAGTGAAATGGAAGCAATGCTTTATTTATTGAACACAATTTAGACACAACTCGGAGCATGTATACAAGACGATGGACAGCACTTGTCTATTAAATGGAAAAACATAAACAAGACTGGAAGTACCCAACCAGCATATACTTCATATTATAGATGCAATCTCCAAGGGTGTATTTGTCACACCCGTCTCTTCCGTAAGTAAATATAGAGAGGACATATCCGCCATGTATTTCTAAACCTTTACACTACCAATCTTACTAGAGAACATATTATTACACGTATAAAGAACTCTTTAACGCTATCTTCCTTGGAAAGAGTTAAGAAATATCAAAGTGGCAACGATCGTTGATGACGAGTAACTAGCTCAAGAATAAGGTCACCACATTGCAAAAAAAAAAAAAAAAATGCTAGGTATATGCACACTATATGTACTATACACGTACCAAACATACTGTAAGTGCAAAAGATTTTGGTGAACAAGATATTATCACCTTTCTAAACTAAGAGGAAAAGAAATATCTGGTATGTATCTCATACCAACATTCTTAAAAACGTAATCTATTTATTGTTATCTAAAAGTAACCTAATCACTGTAATAGGTTGTCACCTTCATAAACGTTTTGTTGACAGCATTACTAAAAATTGACTACTTATCAAAGCTTTGTTTAGTAGAAATGTTGTCCCCTCGTTGGGACAGCAGTCTCAGGACTTACAATGCTAAGATCCAGGGTTTGCTTCCTCCCGGGAGACACAGCAGATAGCCCAACATGGCTTTCCTTTAAAACAAACAAGAACTGTAGATTCTTTTATTAAAAAAAAAATACTTGATATTTCACTACAAGTTTTTTCTAGATCCATTCAATAATATATTTATTTCATTCATATGTGTTTCAACTGTAAAGTCTGCAAGATAAATAAATTAACTTACTTACAAAATAAATCTATAGATAAGTTTTAAAGCTTGTGGATTTGTTTGAATTATACATGTAAACTTCAACGAGAATTCACAAATAAGTTACTAGTGCCATGTACTTATATAATAATATACATTAGTATAGTGATTGAATACATGAAAATACATTACTCACAATAAATAAAGGTAATCCGAGTTGTTTATATTTGTAATAATGCACAACTGCTGTTATTAAATCATGTCAATGGTACACCCAATTTTATTTTTATACAAAACAAGATTCATATGATCAGTTATGTGATATGTTATGCTCAATTCAGTGATATATATAAAAAGAGAAGAAAGCATAATGTTTTTTTTTTTTTTTCAGTTATCAGTTTAAACAATGGCAGCATGTAAAGAGATTGTGGTTGACAGTTAAACATGCTAGATCCCCAACAAAGATGACATTTCCATGAACTAGAGAGCAGTAGGTCAGTTACAACTGATCAAACATAACAAGTCATTGCAAAATGGCTACAGGTCTCACAAAGTGTGGTTAGAAGGATGTAGTCTCACTTTCAGATCACTAATACATATGGCCAGAAACCTGATCAGGAAAGACCAATGTCAACAATCTCAAAGATGTCTGCTATTTGATAATACTGGCTTGATGTAACCAGAGGCTTCAGTTTCCCAACTCAGACCAATGACTAAATAAGGTTTCAGCATACAAGTGCCAAATGTTTGTCTTTATGCCAGATGATTGATGGTTTGTGTTTCTCCAATCCATTGGCACGAAACAGCACAATTTCAGTCTTGTCAAAAACACGTGGATTTGTTAAACAAAATATGAATGAAAGACAATTCCATTCCAAACATATATAGGTAGGGTACACATTTAGTTAGTACCCAGGAATAGATCAAATCTAAATATCATGGAGGAAAGATATGCACATAATGGTGATTGCACAATGGCATGGACAGGAGTTAGTATTTGCAGACACACTGATGCACAATTAATGATACAGGGATGTCATTTTACAACCATTAATGTCATCATATGCAGGTGCAGTTGGTATGTTTCTTTTCTTCTGATGAACGATAATGTGAACTCCACCTTGCTTAGCTGGGTTGTAACTTCCTCAAAGAAGGTACTGAGCAAATTGAAATGGCTCCCATACTCACAAAATTTGAGAAGATGCTTGATTACACGTGATTCACATCCAAGCGGTGTTAATCAATTTGAAGTAGTTTTGATGAAGAAATGGACCAAATTGCCTCAGCAGTTCAACAATTCACTTATTCTAAATATGAAACATCAATGCACAACATGTATTACTGTCTGAGGTAATCACACACCTTATTAACAAATGTGTTCTGATTAGTTATTGATCTCCTAAGTCTGTAATACCATCTGAGCATTTGTGGACACAGACTTGAATAATAAATTGTACATATTCAATTTTGGGACTGGCTACCAAAATTTTTTTTTGCTTAAAAATGAACTAAAGGGTATCATTGACATTATTTAGTAACATTACTTGAACCTTACTACTTAAATTTTTTGAGAAGGTACCTGAGGCATGTTAAGGCAACAAACTTGTGGATTCTAAACCCAACATTTAAAAACAGCCTGCATACCTTAAACTTTAAAACGTGGATGCCATTAAATAAAAAAGAACATGGAAGATGAGCATCACCAAGCACCAATGGCTTCACTTGTAAAGGGCTCAGTAGCCATTGTGGCTTAATTCATAATCCTTTGCTTTGAAGCTTACAACTCTGGGAATAACTGACTGTTGAGATTAGTTCCCTGATACATGTGAATCTCACCAGGGGTACCAAAATAAGCTATCCCTTGCTCTGCAAACATATAAGATTTGGCCCACTTAGTGATGTAATCAATAATGACTAGCACATATTGATTTATTACTTTGCTTGGGAAGGAGATCAGCACTGTCCAAGATTATTCTCTATTCAACAATACTTGCTGAAGTTTACCCTGTTTAAATTGGCTTTTCCTCTGGGTTGTATATGTGGTGCAATGTTGGCATCAGTGCTGAATGTCACAACTTAAGCATGGCCAGTAAAACCATGACTAGTGTGTGTGTGACATTGTTGGCCTCTAGTCCTTGTATCATACAAAACCTGAATAAATTGCTAGGGAACCACCAGCTACAAAACAGGCTGAGAACCATGCCTAGGTGTCTGATAAAAAATAGTACATGCCATTGCATATCTGTATCTGCTCGTATAAGTTCAAAAGACAGAGTGCACTCACACTGTACTATCATGCATTACCTTCCTGCCTAACAAGGAATGCCCATGCTAATTCTGAGTTCTTTGAGGTGTGAGTTTTTGGTATTTAGTCACCAGTGGAATCACTTACAACAAGGATTGATGTTGTGACAGCTGAAATGGCTTTTGCTTCAATATGGTATCTCATATCAGGACATTCAACAAATGTACAGGATCTTATCATGTGGCAAGATAATCCATCTACATTTCCATGTTGCACTCCTGGATGATGCCATATGACCATGACATACACCTGTAACATTAACATCCAACACGCTTTCATCCCTTCTTGATTTTTGAAGTTCATAAGCCTCTTCAACAACACATTATTCACCCTACACTTATATTGGTAGTGCTTCACAAAGACCACAACTGTAAGCAGTTCTTTCTTTTTTATGAAGTGAAGATATGGTGAATGTATGAAATCATTCATTGAGACCTATCCTCTTACAGCACTGCCCAAATTCCATTATCACCAGAATCTGTGTCCAAAAGGAACTCACAATCCTGTCACAGATATGCTAGCACTACAGCTTCTGTTGGAACATGCTTCAAGCACTCATAAGCTTACCTGAAATGTACATTGGCTTTAGTGAGTGCAGAAACCTAGGACAAATTGGACACAAAATGTTGATAATATGATATGAACCTAAGAAGACTTCAAACCTTTCACTTTGAACCACTGTGATCTTCATAAGGTCAGTAGAGATGCCATCTCACCCCACTATGAGTCTGAGAAAATCTACTTGTGTGTGTGAATGGGCACACTCTTCCTAGACTTTAAACCTGAAGTTCTTATCTATTGCATGACCATAGACAGGTTCATTACAGCAAGTTGAAACATTTGGTCAAATAACAAGACATCATCCACACAGACTAAGCATCTCTCCTATTGCAATCCCTTGAGTGTAAACTCCATCAGCCTCTCGAGTGTGGCTGGAGCATTACACAGACCAAATGGCAGACTCAGAACTCAAACAAAAAATCTTACATAAATGGAGATACTATGATTCCATTCACAAGGTACACACACATGCAACCCACTGTACCTGGGTTGATTGGTTTGTTGAATTTTATGTAAAGCTACTCATTGGCTTCTTGCATTAGCTGTCCTAAATTTTGAAGTATGAACTAGAGAGAAGGAAGTTAACAAACACCATAAAATTGTGAACTACTCTTCACTAATGAATAATGGAATATACCATCACACTATAACACCAACCTCCACTGCTAAAAGGGTGAGCATGTTTGGTGACAAGTTTTGATCCTGTGCCCAGCAGATTGTATGTCAAGCACCATAACCACCAAACCATCTTGAACAGTCTTCTCACACAAACTCAGTTCACTTGTTGCACAGGAAAAAGTGATAGTTTCTGCAGTATGTCCATCCTGATAATGCCAATATCAGAACCAAGGTCTGCTACAACTACCTTCATCCTGTTGTTCATGTGACCAAGAGGTAGCCTTTCCATCCACATCTAGTATGCTGCCATTTGTTAGAACAAAGTGTTTGCTGGCCAGAGTAGTGATGCTTGTCAAAATATGGGCAATTTGCTCAGAACTGCTCCTGCAGCTCACAAACACTCTGGTTCTCTATTTCTGAGTGAAGTCCAGATGGAGACATCAGCTGCATCTGTTGCAGCACAGATGTTATGGGAGGAACCAGATAACACTGCCAGTTCAATAGATACTAGCTTGTTTGTGCTGCAACATTGGAAGGTGTTGGCTGTGGTCCTGCTGTTAGCAGAGCTTGAATCCTAGGGTAGGCACTGGCATGAGAAAGGCAGTCCATGCTGGGAGTCACTATGACAGCTTCCACTAATTCTTTCCTCCTTTCTTGCAACTTGTCCAAAGAGACCACCTGTACTTCCACTACCATGGTGACTACCTCTGTCAGGATTCAAATATATAGTAACCCCAAATGTTGCCTCATGGTTTTGCTTGGCAGCCCCTTGATACAGATGTTCTCATGACCTGCAGACACAATCAATCCTTTTGGGTGCTCCATATAGTATTTGTTCCCCATTCTTGCTGAAGGGTGATGGTCATCCAGGACATTTGTAGTATTGGCAAAAGCCCAAGATCAATGAGAGGACTTCGCTAATACATGGTCACTTTCTTGCAAGCAGAACCTCAGCTCCTAACTTTTTCTCTAGCTTGTACACCCTCTGACCTGTGAGAAATACCATTCAAACTGTTTAAAAAACTAAGTGTACTTAACAGAGTATGGGAGATTCCAGTTAAAAACCCACTCAGAAAGAACAAACCTCAACAAAAACAGGATCCATGATCATGGCAACAAAATATCAAGATGTCCAGTAAAGAATGTCTATATTGGTTCTCTCCCAATAGTACAGTGTGAGCTTCCCCCTGTAAGCTAATCAAAAAGTAACATTAAAATATTAAATGAAAATAACACCTCAGTGTTAAGACAAGTCAAACCTCTCAAAGTAAAACAAGTTACTGAAATAAACTATAAATCTTAAAGTCTGAATAATATTACAAGTCTCAAAAACTAAATCAATTTAAAGTCTGCTTAAATATCATAGAAAAGTTTAATAGTCTAATAATGATAACCAAATACAATAATATTGTTGGATATACAAGACTGTTTAGTGTAAGAGTTATTATTTAGTTCATTTAGTGATATAATATTTAATGATTATTTAGTTTTCATTACAAGAGTGTTAAAGTTAATTATTTTAAAAGCGATAGTTATGACAGATTTCGTCACTTAACTTGATAAGAGTCGTATGTTGTGTGTGTAGTTCAGTTGTTGTAAATTACTTGAACCTTCTGTATTTTTCATGTTGCCTTAAATGAGTATTGTTACATCATAACATCTTGTAAAGTGTAGAAAGTTCTAGGCTTCAGCTGGGCAATGTATATATGTATGTACGTATATATAGGCAACTAAGTTACGTCAAAAAATGTTTAGTAAGTGAAAGTTATACTGCATAATTATTAGTTTGCCCATAAAGGGCGATATTTTAAAGTAACTTTCATATACAC